ATTGGAATAGTGAAATGAAAATAAATGTTATTGTAAATAAAAGGTTTTTGTTAAAATAGTAGCCTAATTAGGTCCAATTGGGCTGGCTGTCATATTACCATTACAGCTATACTTGCCGCCCAAATCCCAAATTCATCCCAAATTAATATCTCAAAAACTTTATTAATAATCTTTGTTTAAACAAATAATATATATTCTTATAGTTATAAATAATATATTTGCAAAATATCAAGATTACTTGTTTGATTTAATCTTTTATAAATAACAAATGTTTTTTTTTGAATTTGGGATTTGTCCGGGGTTTGCCAGTATGTATAATTACAGCTGTCAAGCTAGAATATATTAAAACTTTGCAGTAAATGAAAATTGGAATTGAAAAAGATTGTTGAAAAACATTTGAATATTTTTTAAAATCTGCTGATATGAATTATGTAAAAAGAATACTCAAATTTGGTTATGAAAAATGAATTAAAGTTGAAAAAAAAATAAAAAAAAGAAAGATTTCGAATATTATAAAAAAAAAGCTGCTAATAAGAATTAGACTTGCAATAAAAAATTAATAATTATATAATAATATATAATAATATAGAAATTTGTAATTTTTATTTTATTTTTTTAATTTTTATGTCTAAATATCTACTTTATTCAAAATAACCGCCTTTATCTACCACCTTCTGTATCTTATATAATAGTTTGTAAAATTTTTATTTGATAATATTTTTTAATGTTATAGGTCATGAAGATGAAAAAAAAAACAAAAGTAAAAGTATATAATAAAAAAAAATGAAGAAAAAATTAAAAATTCTTATTTTTTTAAAAATATAACTTAAAATTTAATAAATATACTATAAATAAATATATATTGTAATAAAATAAATAATACATAAAAACAGCAAATAAAAATAATACTTATTTTTATAAACCGATTTGATTCAATTCTTTTAATTAATATATATATATTTGAAAGATTAGAAAGTCTTTGTTTTATAGATTTAGAGATGCGGTAGAGGCCTACTCGTAACTATTTACGAAACAAGCTTTAGTTAGTTACAGCATAAGCCAAGTCGTAATGGTTTCTACCACATCTCTAGTTACACCTAAGGAGATAAATATTATATTAGTTAAAATAATATTAAAAAGATAAAAAATAATTCGTATGGTGAAGAAATTTAAAAACAATAATTACGCTTTTTGGATGCAAATATAAACGGTGAAATTAATATTCCTAACTTTATTGAATAATTTAAGTATAACTAAATTTTTTACGTTACAATTTCTATCGAGTTAATGCAATCAAGTACTTAAAATCGACTTCAAATAAAGTGTTTACATGCATGCTTTATTGATATTAAATTACCATATTTTGTTCCTATAACGATAAGATTTCTCACCGTATGAATTACTAAATTTTTTTTTTTTTAAAAAAAAAGAAATACAAAAAGATTCTCTTTTTTCATTTATTATAAAACGCACCTATGGTGGTTTTGCACCTGTCATATGTTTTATTATGTTTTTTTTTAGATTTTTTTAAGTTTTGAATATAAAAATTTTCAACACAAAATTTTCATGTTAGTGTTAGTATTTAGGGTTAGTATTAAGGTTTGAGAAGGGGGGTTTTTAGGGGCGTAGAGCATTTTTACTTAGGACATCTTGCATTGATTAATTAGCCAGTTTTTGAGATAATATATGCATAGGTGTAAAACGCCATAGGTGCGTTTTAATAAAAGTCTAATTTCATAATATTTATACGTATTATATTTATTTTTGTAATATTTTAGATATATAATAAAAATATGTTAATTATACAGTGTGGGCATAAACCAACATATAAAAAATACATAATTTTAAACGTTTATAAATAAAAAACTAAGATAGTTATAAATTAAATCTCTTCGTAAAATAATAAAATAAAACCTAAAGAACAAAGTTACAAAATTTATTTTTTTAGTTAATTAAAATTTAATAGAATTATATCCTTTCGAAGTTATTAATGAAATTAAAATTTGGCCACATATATAAAAACATAATAAAATTTCATAAAATATAATAAAATTTTAAAAAACATAATAAAATTTTAGGCTAATGGCCAATCAGAATTTAGTATTTTGTCTCAAATTTGGCCACTTTTAAAAAAAGTTGTTTGTTTAATGATGCCTGCACTGTATTGTAATTATATTTAAGCAAATTTATGGGTTTCTGTACAGTATGAACCCGAAACGACCCAATGTGGGTTTATTTTTACTGCATTAAATTAATAAAAATGTCCGCAATTTTGTATACGTAGAATCAAAATTTTCAGGCTTAACATATTGTACTTTTTTTAAACATTAGCATTAGTTTTTTTAATATACAAAAAATCAAAAAAAAAGAAAAATTAATCAAATTATTCTATATCATCACTTAAACTAGGTGGATATGGTACAGGGTTTCCATCTGCATCAACAATGCCCCATGTTTTACTAACTTTGTTACCCATTTCTAATTCTAAAACGGCACCATCAGCAATATCACTATGTCTAAACCAAGTTTTATACCACTCCTTGTCATTTATTTTGGCAGATTGTACGTAGACATTATCATTTGATAAATTATTTGCTATTATAGAGAATGTTATAATAGGAGATACTGATAAAATTATTGTTGTTTGATTGAAAAGTGGAGAATTAATAAGATAAACATCTTGGCCAGCACTTGTATGTGAAATAGAATTCAAGTAAGAAATTAAATAATAAATAAAGAATAAGTAAAAAAAAAAAAAAAAAAAAACTTACAGTGGAAATATTCCCATCACATGGAAAACAAACCAACTACCCATAGCACCTGAATCATCATTTCCTAACATATATAATATAAACATTAGAATAGAGTTTATAATTTTTTATAAAATGAGTTAAACATAGATTTTTAAACTTACCTGGAATACCATCTCTGCCACTACCAAAGTGTTTTTTTAAAATATCTCTTACGACATCAACTGATTTATATTGTTTACCAATAAAATGGTATAAACAAGTATGGAAAAATGAAGGTTCATTACCGATATTATAATATGAAGATAAATAACCGTATGAAAAAGTTTTATCAAGACGTTTTTCGAAAGCATCCGGACCACCTGATAAAGAAATTAATCTTTTGACATCTACAGTAATTGTAAGAAATATATAAGTGAATATAAGATAAAAACAGTTGGATAATTGTTAAAGACCTTTGAAATTATACTTTACCGTGCGGGACATCAAGGCTATATTCCCAAGAAGTACCCTCATAAAATGGGGTTTCACCACCATTTTTAGACAAAACTTGCCATTTGGTATCAAAAGTACCATCCAGAAATCTAGGTAAAATAAACCCTTTAACACCTTTTTACATTAACAAAAACTTTATTAGTATAAAATAGTGTATATAAGAATAAATATATAGTTAAATTATGGCTATAAATACCTTGATATGTCTTGTTGGGACACCATAGATTTTCCCAATTACTGGCTCTTTTTTTGTATTTAACATAATCATCATACTTTTTCATTGCTATTATCGATATTGCATATATTGCATAAATAACGGATTTTTATTTGATCGAAAAAAATAAGAAAATAATGAAATTAATGTTTTTAATTACCTTTAGCCATAAGAGCAATTGAATAATCATTGGCCGAATATTCCAAAGTTCTGCTACATGGATTAATAGCATAAGCAGTTCTTCGATGAACCGGAGAAGGAATATAACCAATCTCTTTATAACTTTTAAGAAACAGCCTTCCCTCATAAAGACCTTGCTCCCATGGATCGACTTCGGCATCTTTCAATAATGCTTCGTATGCAAGTTTCCAATCAATAGTATACATTCCTAATTTTTTTAAATATAATTCTGTCTACAACCAAACATAGGTTAAGATTCATACATAAAGTTTTTTTTTTAAATTATAAATTTAGATATATAATATATTTACCACCAACATATCGGCGTTTGAACCACCCTGCGTTATACCATTATCCATTCCACTTCGTCCGTCAGGCATATATCCCACATGTTCATATATATCAATAAGAGATCGAACTATGTCAATGGCTCGTTCAGGTTGAAAAAGCGTGAAAAGTGGATTTGTTGTCCTAATTAAATTATCAATTAAAATTTTTTATAAATATAGAAGAGTGTCAATTAAGTATAATAATTACCTAAATGTATCCCACTATATAAATACGAAAAATACAATACAATAAATATATGTTTTATAAGCATTAATTAAAAAAATTTTAATATAAATAATTGAATTCTTTGTGAATAAGGCCTGACTCGTGAATTCCCACGAGTCCCGAGACAATGTGAAATAAAGCCTTTTTTCCCAATTCTAACAAGAGATTTGCTGCAAGTGTACATACTAGAGTATAAAAATCATCATAGTTTGGTATTGGTTTACCGTAATAATCAAAAGATGACCATTTTGGATTTTCGCCGGTTCTATAAAGTCATAAATTAGGATAAAAGAATAAGGTAAAATTGTGAAAACAAATAAAGAACCCACCTATCACTTGGCATAATCATAGTTCTATATAAACTAGAATAAAAAATTTTTTGCAAATCTTTTGAACCACCATCAACTACGATTCTTGATAATTCACTTTCCCATGCATCCACGACACTTTGTTTCGTAGCATCAAAATCAAAATCAGGAATTTCAGTTTCAGCACTTTTACAAGCTTGATCTGCAGAGATAAAAGATATTCCGACTCGAGATTGAAT